GGAGGTTCGTTATCTTGCCGAAATCGAATTGGTCGAGAACGCCATCAAGTACTGCAAGACTTTGGCTCCTGAGGAGAAGAAGGAAGAGGCTGCTGCCAAGGCTGATATCCCTAGCATTGACGGCACTAAGGCCCTTGTTCAGAAGAAGGACAGGGTCCAGAACTACTACTTCGCCCCTACTGCTCAGAAGAAGAAGGGCAAGCACAACAAGCAGGGCGCCAGCCAGGCTGCTTTCAAGCACGGTCTTGATACCCTGCAGCTCTTCTCTGATATGAAGGTTGATGCTCCTAAGAACAGGGACGATGTTCCTAAGTGCCTCGAGGACCTCAACAAGAGGCTTGGCGAGTACAAGGATCTCCAGAAGGTCGAATACGAGAACCGTCAGAAGCGTCGTGAGGCTCGTGAGGCTGCTGCTAAGGCTGCCGCTGAGCAAGCTGATGAGACTGCTAAGCAAGCTGAGACCACTGAGGTTACTGCTTGAGTTTTTCTAAACCACATTGTTATCATAACAGCAATCAACCTACTCCTAATCTATCATCGTTGTCGTGGCGGTGGTGGTGTGGGGCGGTTGAGTGGTTGGAAAGCCGGTACGCCTCTTTTACCCTAGTACTAATCGTAGTCATCATCGCAATGCTACTATCATCATTCTTGCTGCGCTACTGAACTCGAAATAGCATCGACCTTTTTTCTTCCTGTAACTGTTTTCCCTCTCTACGGCTGTGTATCGGTAGTTGTCAACTTCGTCAAGGCCTTAGGCCCTACAATACTGTTGACTCCTACTGTGTTGTTCACAGCACCGTAACGGATCCTGAAATACCCCTACTGTTATCGCTTTACCATATGGCCTCTGCATCATGGTTGCCTCTACGTGTGAGGTTGGTGATCTATCATTTACCTTATCACTACTTGTTCCTTCCTCATACTACTATGATGTGAAGAACGTGTGGTAACAGTTCCCTTGGTCATCCTTGCTGCTACGGTGATGATGATGAGGATGTGGTTGTCACTTTTCCCTTCATCACCTACTATGTAGTCGGGTGCTGCCAGGCGATGCTGAAAGCCGCTGCCAAACTTGCTCTGGAAGACGTTAGTGTCTGTTGAACTCGCGTTCATTATGTTGAGTTGTGAAGTATCTTTGGGAATCTTCGCGATGCGGTGAGACACTTCAGTGAGGTCCAATTGATGACTAATCATTCGATGGTATCGGATAATGCAGAAAGGTAGCATGTGAATTCAGAGAGGAGTGGTATTATAAGAATTGCTCATCAGTATTTCAACGCCCACTGTGAATCCATCCACTAACGAGGAGCTGGCAGAAGAGTGCCGCGATGAGGCCCTTCAGTCTATGAGGTCTCTGCGGTATTGGCAGAGGGGCTCGGGGGCATACAATAGCCAGATAAGGAAGGTAGGGCACAGACGGGGGGGAGGGGGTAGGAGAGTATAGCTGGGACAGTCAGATTGTACGACTACTACATCGTGCAGAGCGACAGAGGAGTGACTGGACACCACGATTAGCTACACATCATATACTAGTATGGCTGACAGCTCAACTGGAAGTGGCTGTAGGAGAGAATTCACTACTGCTAGTTCGGACTGTTGTGAGCTCTCAGGATTCGGTGAGGAGTGATGTCCGCACAGAGTTGGATCGATACTCGGCGCAATACACCGGTGGCCCTACTGCACAGAGGGCTGCTGCTCACACTGCGATGGAGCGTACCATTCGAGTAGCTCGGCAGGGGTATGAACACCTCTCGAGCTTCTGCTGCGAAACTTACCCTCGAGCGGTTGCGCGGATAATACCTGCTAGCTTTATGCAGCGATTCATCAGTCCTGACTATTGGATCTGGATATGCTGGGCATGGACAGCGGTAGTGTTGGTCGACCCAAGAATTGTCTTCTCTTCATTTCCTCGTATTCTGTCAAGTGCTCGTAAGACGGAGGCGTGTGTAGGTACTATTAACACTCCTACTACGACTAGCCGTTGGTCACCCATTGCTTTTCTATTCATCCTCTTCTGCATACCAACGACCGTACTCGTCACCAACAGCCCACCGGCCTACGGGCTCTCGTACCACACCATCTCCAACTCGAATGAGTAGGTTTTCCCATCACTCAATGGTCACCACCTTGCTGGATAGGTTATACTCCTAGTAGCTTCGTCATGCTCGGTCCGTTTGTCCTCTTCGGCGACAACCCTATGGCTTCTGGGTAGTGACACTCGTCATAACCGTTACGGTCATCGTGTCTCTTTCCTAGATACGACTTTTTCGTCCATCTACTACTATTCTTGGGGCCATTCCTCCTCCTGCGCTACTTAAACAGAAGGCTTCAGTTTCGGCAGTGATACCATACATACACCGAGGCCTCACGCGTTTCTCTCATTTCCGCCTTACTTCGTCCGGTCAATCATCACTCTTGCGTAGGTGGGATTTTTCTCTCTGTGTAATGCCGGTGTTGATCGTTGGTGGCGGCATCATGGCGGCATCAACAGCCTACTACCTTGCTAAACTCGGCAAGTCCATCATCATATTAGAACGAGAGACCGTGGGATGCTCTGCCAGCGGCAAGGCAGGTGAGATGCGACAGCGGGACTACCAGCTACTATGAGCACCATCATCTTTTTCATACCAGGTGGGTTCCTGGCTAGAGGTTGGTGTTCTTCTGGGCCCACGCAACAACTGCATCATAGAGGCTTCGACCTTATACGGCAGTATGTCCATAAACACGGCTTGAAGTCCTACAGGGCTATCCCCACAGCTCAGACGGAAGTAGCTCTAGCAGGCCTCGACGCACCGAGTGCTCGACGCTCGAGTGCACCAGACGCTCGAGTCAGATCCACGGCAACAAGAGGAGACGTGGTGACGGCCAGTGTTCATGGCTCGACAGAGGAACAACGAAGTCAAGTTTGATGGACTCGGAGACCGCGCAGGTCGGAGGCTCCTGTGTCTCTGCCAAGATGTGGCTGACCAGATAACGCCCTTGGAACTCACCAAGTCTCTTATAAGAGAGGCGATCGACTTGGGCTCACTAGAGGTCCGAACTGACGCTAAGGTGGTTGATGTGGTCATCGAGGAAGATGGCAAAGTGAGTAACCGAAATCGTTCTGGCTTATCGAGACTCAACTGCTCAGGCTGTTACTGGTGTAGTATTGGAGGACGGCTCCATCGTCTATGGCTCAGAGGTTGTTCTAGCGATGGGAGCGTGGTCTTGTGAGGTGGAGGTTTGGTAGGAAACAGCTGTAGTTGTCGTGACCATGGAAATCTGTGAGGCCTTCTCTACGAGGGAGAGTTGAGATGCCAATGAGTGGTATCAAGAGTAGCAGTCTGGTGTACAAGGAGACTGGAATGGCCGCAGTTCCTGACCCGCACGCTCTTTTCTGGTAATGACCCGCAGGTCTCGGAGGCACCTCACTGGATCATCAGCTCCGATGACGCCAACGGGTGCCATCTTGAAGTGTACCCTCGACCGGATGGTGACATCTACGTCTGTGGACTGGGCGGATCCCCTCAGCTGCGACCTGATGATCTCAGATCTATTGACCCGAGTGGAGTACAGCCGGAGGCAAAAAGGGTGGCTGCTGGCCACAAGGTGGGTTCAAGTCGTCAGATATGAGTAGTGGAGGCGCGGTTGTCAGTCGCTCTCTGCCATGACATCTCTAGTCGATCCTGGTAAAGAGCCCGATATCAAGCAGGCCTGCCTGAGGCCGCTACTACCGGATGCGTTACCAGCTATGGGCCGGCTCTGTGAGGGCATCAACAACCTGTGAGTGCCAGTTTGGCGGTTGCTTGCGTGTATGCAACCTTTCATGCAGATACATCGTGGCGGGCCATAACTGTTGGGGCATTCTCTGGTCCCTGGCTTCGGGAGAGGCAATGGCTGAGCTTATCGCTCATGGCACATCTGAGCACCTCAGTTTAAGTCCCTTCGATCCCACTAGATTCACATAGCCTTCGTCATGACTCCTGTTTCCTGTTGTAACCTACCGTTGTGTTGGAGACAACCAAGCCTTGCTCATACGCGACGTACGTCAATGACAGACCAAATCAAATATGTATTTCAGTGTAATGACAGTGCCAAATTTGTGACAACCCGAGCATGTTCCAAGATGGATGAATGGAACGTGCTGCAGCGAGTGTGGCAGTCGGGCCACAGTCGGACTACTCGCCCGGGACTGGTAGCAGTCTCAAGTCGGGAACAGCGAGTGAGATTCCGGCATTCGCTCTAGATACTGGGCCTACAGCTTAGGAACTGCTCTCCTCAAGGCGTACCTTACAAGTAGGAATCCCTAGCGCTCCCTCAATATGAAGAGTTATGAGGAAGCGCTCCTTGATTAAGGAAGGTGAAGACTCAAGAGTACCTCCACTCCCACCTGTTTATCGAATAGCTGGTCTTCTCATCGTCAGCGTTCTTCCTGCGCGCAGCGCGCGATGCTAAGACGTTATGTGGGACGCTGTGCAGCGATTCAGACGACCTCATCAAAGAAGTCTACGCCATAGAGGAGCTATATGATCTGTCCGCTGACTTCGACCACATCAGGTAGCCAGCTGACGAATGTGCCAGAAAATGCTACCTTGATCTGCAAAGACTAGTCAACGTGCGGAAGCTGCTGGGCATTCAGCGTTGTTGAGACCTTCATAACCGCCGCGGCATCAAAATGGGTGGAGCTATCACGGAGCTCCTATCGGTCGGCGAGATGGATGATTGTGCACCGTGAGTCAAGGCTGCCAGCCTCGGAACCTCTCATCCCGATCGGTGCTTCTCGGCCCAGGTCCGACAGATGCCAAGGTAGAGATCCTTCTTCAACCTGGTCCTGGATGCACGATGGCGTCGCATTTTGTAAAGCCAGTCAATCTAAAGTTGAGATGAACCTATCTGAAGGACTCGCCTCAGATTCCGAGGCTCGTTTAGATTCAAGACAAGTCTCGTAATCCAAGGCCGTTCTATAAGACAATCATACACTCCGGCGGTGAGAATAGAGAAACGAGTGGGAGCTCGTATACAACTTGTATAGGAGTTCCCGTTCGTTTTTTAGTTAATCAAATCACGAATGGATATAATCGAATAATCGCGACCGATTGTCACTTGATCGCTTGCTCAGCTTGATGTTCAGGCTGTTTGAGCTCTACGCGTAGGGATCAATAAGGTGGATGATACACCTTATTGATCCCTTATAGATAAACCGTGTCTCTACTGACTCGATAAATATCTGAGAAGCTCTGGAAAACCAGAAGAAGAACAAAATAACCAAGTCCTATTGAGGTAATCTGAACAATCTCAATGATACTGTTGTTGTTACTCACGAACGGGCATTGATGTATTTACGACACTTTCGAATATTTCCACGCCGGTGAGCAGTCAACGGGGGACAGAGTGGTGCCCTGTTTATCTTCTGAATCGCCCTAGTCGGCTCGGAATCTTTGCTCAGGCACGGACGGACGCACGCACACGAGTGCTCGTGCGCAGTAACATGGGCTCCGCTCGCATCGCTCGCTCCGCAACTATAAAATTGATTGTGAAATGCAACTTGTAGAGTGTGATCAAAGTCTCTAGTCTAATATATTCGGGAGGATAGGTGCTTAGCTATGCAGTATGTAGGATCGCGCACAATGAAGAGAACGATGCAATCATCTTCTACTTCTTTTAGATACCCCACGATGATCCACAACTCCGTCTCTTGGATGGAGGAAATCGTAAACGGGTCTCTTCAACTTGGTGCCGCTCGAATGATGCCTGTTTAACTCTAATCAAGCACCTGGTGGTTCCACTGTTAGAAGCGCAAGTCTCGTAGCGCGAGATTGATATCAAGCTTGCGCTTCGATGCGCTGGGGCCCAGCGACTGGGCTACAACAGCTAGGCAACAATTATTGATCGAAAGCGGCCTCCGATCAATCACTTGATCGGCTTTCGATCAAGCGGACTTGAAGGTGAGGCTTTCGGAAGGCCCCACCTTCAACTCCGTTTAAACTCGGCCACTCGAATCGGAGAATATCACCACATGAAAAATCTTACCTGAGTGCTCTCCGATCGAGCAACATTGTGGTGCGTGAAAATGCGTGCCGACCACTCAAGGAACTGCATTCCGTTAGACTTGCATACCCGCAGGGTTTTTGACACCTCGTGAACATTGATAGAGAAATCTGGACTATTTTAGCAGATCTCGGAACGGTTTCAATGAAACTAGATCTTTCATTCATCGGTGTAGTACGGAGTGTGGTTTTCGACGCATATATGTATGAACTATTCCGCAACTGAACCATTTATGGTCCAGAAGTGATTCCCGAAGCCAAGCTCCTCCCGGAGGGAAGCTCCTATAGAGGAGCGTGCACTTCTTTATTTGGTTCACAGTTTGATTGGTATGGAAGTGGCCGAATCCACACATGAGCATACTTCATTGGGTCTCTATTCGGTCACTCGATGTTCTGTCGCTACCTTGAGTAATTTGCCTCAAATCGTGCTTCAACCACCAGACCTTAGTATATTTGATTTGCTGGGTGAATCTCGATGAGACAGCTCACCGTGACCTATCATCACTCGCGCATAATCGGTCTCGAATCTCAGTAATGTCACTTGATAGTATCATGCTCGTACGCTGGACATTCTTATCTACGATTCTGGTGAATGGCCTACTCTTTGTTGAAGGTGCTCCTAAGCGCACATTGGTTAGGATATCCCATCGCGGAGCCCGCCTCGACATTCGTCTTATACCGAGTATGATGGCGAAGACCATGACTGCCTTCAACGGAGAGTCGTATTTACTCACTCCTGAAGACCGTGAGTGTGAACGATGCTTCGCGCAAGATGGTATGATCTACGACCTGAACGCTGTAGGGGTCCAGATTGTAGACTCCGCATGCTCGGTTGGTCACAGTCAAATCTTGAGCTACTTGAGGAAGGCTGAGGTTACTTTGGGGATTGACTTTGATTGCGAGCCCGACTCAGTGGTCACCATAAACCCGCTGCCCAGGCCTGTTAGGGCACAAAACTCGTCCAATTGTACTGGCGGCAATCCCGTTCTTGGCACCAATGATCCCGGCTCCTCCTGCCAGCGTAGCCTCGAGGTTATCCGCATCGGAGCTGCCTGGCAAGCGGCTCGCTCAGCCAAGCGCAAGCTGAGGGAAATCGTACTGGCCATCAGCGACAGTGGGGTTGACATGACCCACCCGGACCTGGTTCACCAGTTCTGGAGGAATCCATCAGACAATTCCATCGGCTACAATTTCATCACGAACAGCACTGATGTTACTGATGACTTTGAACACGGTACACACTGTGCTGGGAATGCTGCTGCCCAAACTAACAATAGCCTTGGTATTGCAGGGGTGGCGAATATTGATGGCTCAGTACTCAATGTGAAGCTGATGATACTCAAGTTCCTCAATGCTTCCGGACGTGGTTGGGTGAGCGACGAAGCTAGGGCCCTCAACTTCGCCGTCGAGAATGGAGCTACAGTGTCCTCTCATTCTTATGGCGCATACGCCCCGAGCCCAATCGCGCGAATCGCCTTTGAGAATGCCGCTGCTGCTGGACATATCGCCGTTGCTGCTGCTGGGAATGACGGGATGAGCCTAGAGAAGGCGACATTCTATCCATGCACCTATGCGGAGAACATCACATCTTTGATTTGTGTGGCTGCCAGTACGTCTGATCCTACCAAGCCCATCTCTCTCGTCGACTGGTCAAACGCTGGGCCAATTACGAAGATTGCAGCTCCAGGTGTTGGTATCTACTCGACGATACCTGACGGATCGTACGCCGCTAGGGATGGTACATCCGTGTCGACCCCCACAGTTGCCGGTGTCGCGGCTCTGCTCGCTACACTAGGTCTAACTGGCCAGAACATAACCGACACTATTTTTGAATCTAGGACGGCCGCTATACCCAATAAGTTCGACTTCTATTATATCGGGGAGATAGATGCACTCAAAGCTGTCCAAAAGGCTCTTGAAAAATTGGGTGGCCGCTCCTTTCGAAGCAGCTGAATCCCTTCCGAGACCTGTGGACTCCGATCATCATTGAGCCAGCGAATCTCGTCCTCTCTCCTTTATTTCTCATTTTCATGGAAAGAACCTTCTTTGTCTTGTATCGTCAGTCAGCTCGTTTAAGGTGACTCTCCGACCTTTTATTGAAAAAAGTGTGCTGCTGCTGGTGGATATTTCGTTATGTCATGTTTCATCGAGCCGACGGTTTCTTGACTAGATTGCTGATCATAGACGTCACGTCTCCAGTATAAAGGAAAATAGATTATGATTAAGAAATAATAAGAACAAATCAAGTCTAATTCTCAATCCGTTGAGTTCAGTATCTTCTTCGATTACATGGCAACCCGGAAGAAGTGGCTGTAGGAGAGAATTCAATACTGCTAGTTCGGACTGTTGTGAGCTCTCAGGCGCCGGTGAGGAGTGATGTCCGTACAGAGTTGGATCGATACTGGGCGCAATACACCCGTGGCCCTACCGGACAGAGGGCTGCTGTTCACACTGCGATGGAGCGTACTATTAGAGTAGCTCGGCGGGGGTATGAACACCTCTCGAGCTTCTGCTGCGACCAGGTGGGTTCCTGGCTAGAGGTTGGTGTTCTTCTGGGCCCACGCAACAACTGCATCATAGAGGCTTCGACCTTATACGGCAGTATGTCCATAAACACGGCTTGAAGTCCTACAGGGCTATCCCCACAGCTCAGACGGAAGTACCTAGCAGGCCTTGCGCATCTCACTGTGCACCACAAGTTCGGGTCAGATCCACGGCACGAAGAGGAGGTGCGGCGACGGACAGTGTTCATGGCTCGACAGAGGAACAACGAAGTCAAGTTTGATGGACTCGGAGACTGCGCAGGTCGGCGGCTCCTGTGTCTCGGCCAAGATGTGGCTGACCAGATAACGCCCTTGGAACTCAACAAGTCCCTTATAAGAGAGGCGATCGACCTGGGCTTACTAGAGGTCCGAACTGCCGCTAAGGTGGTTGATGTGGTCATCGAGGAAGATGGCAAAGTGAGTAACCGAAATCGTTCTGGCTTATCGAGACACAACTGCTCAGGCTGTTACTGGTGTAGTATTGGAGGACGGCTCCATCGTCTATGGCTCAGAGGTTGTTCTAGCGATGGGAGCGTGGTCTTGTGAGGCGGAGGTTTGGTAGGAAACAGCTGCAGTTGTCGTGACCATGGAAATCTGTGAGGCCTTCTCTACGAGGGAGAGTTGAGATGCCAATGAGTGGTATCAAGAGTAGCAGTCTGGTGTACAAGGAGACTGGAATGGCCGCAGTTTCTGACCCACACGCTCTTTTCTGGTAATGACCAGCGGGTCTCAGAGGCACTTCGCTGGATCATCAGCTCCAATGACGCCAACGGGTGCCATCTTGAAGTGTACCCTCGCCCGGATGGTGACATCTACATCTGTGGACTGGGCGGATCCCCTCAGCTGCGACCCGATGATCTCAGATCTATTGATCCGAGTGGAGTACAGCCGGAGGCAAAAAGGGTGGCTGCTGGCCACAAGGTGGGTTCAAGTCGTGAGATGTGAGTAGTAGAGGCGCGGTTGTCAGTCGCTCTCTGCCATGACATCTCTAGTCGATCCTGGTAAAGAGCCCGATATCAAGCAGGCCTGCCTTAGGCCGCTACTACCGGATGCGTTGCCAGCTATGGGCCGGCTCTGTGAGGGCATCAACAACCTGTGAGTGCCAGTTTGGCGGTTGCTAGCATGTATGCAACCCTTCCTGCAGATACATTGTGGCGGGCCATAACTGTTGGGGTATTCTCTGGTCCCTGGCTTCGGGAGAGGCAATGGCTGAGCTTATCGTTCATGGCACATCTGAGCACCTCAGTTTGAGTCCCTTCGATCCCACTAGATTCACATAGCCTTCATCATGACTACTGTTTCCTGTTGTAACCTACCGTTGTGTTGGAGACAACCAAGCCTTGCTCATACGAGACGTACGTCAATGACAGACCAAATCAAATATGTATTCCAGTGTAATGACAGTGCCAAATTTGTGACAACCCAAGCATGGTTCCAGGATGGATGAATGGAAAGTGCTGCAGCGAGTGTGGCAGTCGGGCCACAGTCGGACTACTAGCCTGGGGCTGGTAGCAGTCTCAAGTCGGGAACAGCGAGTGAGATTCCGGCATTCGCTCTAGATACTGGGCATACAGCTCAGGAACTGCTCTCCTCAAGGCGTACCTTACAAGTAGGAATCCCTAGCGCTCCCTCAATATGAAAGGTTATGAGGAAGCGCTCCTTGATTAAGGAGGGTGAAGATTCAAGAGTACCTCCACTCCCACCTGTTTATCGAATCGCTGGTTTTCTCATCGTCAGCGTTCTCCCTGCGCGCAGTGCGCGATGCTAAGACGTTATGTGGGACGCTGCCCAGAGATTCAGACGACCTCATCAAAAAAGTCTACGCCATAGAGGAGCTATATGATCTGTCCACTGACTTCGACCACATCAGGTAGCCAGCTGGCGAATGTGTCAGAAAATGCTACCTTGATCTGCAAAGACTAGTCAGCGTGCGGAAGCTGCTGGGCATTCAGCGTTGTTGAGACCTTCATAACCGCCGCGGCATCAAAATGGGTGGGGCTATCACGAAGCTTCTATCGGTCGGCGAGATGGATGATTGTGCACCGTGAGTCAAGGCTGCCAGCCTCGGAACCTCTCATCCCGATTGGTGCTTCTCGGCCCAGGCCCGACGGATGCCAAGGTAGAGATCCTTCTTACCTGGTCCTGGATGCACGACGGCGTCGCATTTTGTAAAGCCAGTCGATCTAAAGTTGAGATAAACCTATCTGAAGGACTCGCCTCAGATTTCGAGGCTCGTTTAGATTCAAGACAAGTCTCGGAATCCAAGGCCGTTCTATAAGATAATCATATACTCCGGCGGACCGCCGGCGGCGGTGAGAATAGAGAAACGAGTAGGAGCTCGTATACAACTTGTATAGGAGTTCCCATTCGTTTTCCAGTTAACTAAATCACGAATGGATATAATCGAATCTCGCGACCGATTGTCACTTGATCGCTTGCAAAGCTTGATGTTCAGGCTGTTTGAGCTCTACGTGTAGGGATCAATAGGGTGTATGATACACCTTATTGATCCCTTGTAGATACACCGTGTCTCTACTGACTCGATAAATATCTGAGAAGCTCTGTAAAACCAAAAGAAGAACCAAATAATCAAGTCCTACTGAGATAATCTGAACAATCTCAATGAGACTGTTGTTGTTACTCACGAACGGACATTGATGTATTTACGACACTTTCGCTATATATTTCCACACCGGTGAGCAGTCAACGGGGGACAGAGTGGTTCCCTGTTTATCTTCTGAATCGCCCTGGTCGGCTCGGAATTTTTGCTCAGGCACGAACGGACGCACGCACACGAGTGCTCGTGCGCAATAACATAAGCTCCGCTCGCACAGCTCGCTCCGCAACTATAAAATTGATTGTGAAATGCAACTTGTAGAGCGTGATCAAAGTCTCTAGTCTAATCTACTCGGGAGGATAGGTGCTTAGCTATGCAGTATGTAGGATCGCGCACAATGAAGAAGAGTAATTACAACGATGCAATCATCATCTTCTTCTTTTAGATACCCCACGATGATCCACAACTCCGTCTCTTGGATGGAGGAAATCGTAAACGGGTCTCTTCAACTTGGTGCTGCCCGAATGATGCCTGTTTAACTCTAATCAAGCACCTGGTGGGTCCGTTGTTAGAAGCGCAAGTCTCGTAGCGCGAGATTGATATCAAGCTTGCGCTTCGATGCGCTGGGGCCCAGCGACTGGGCTACAACAGCTAGGCAACAATTATTGATCGAAAGCGGCCTTCGATCAATAGCTTGATCGGCTTTCGATCAAGCGGACTTGAAGGTGAGGCTTTCGGAAGGCCTCACCTTCAACTCCGTTTAAACTTGGCCACTCGAATCGGAGAATATCACCACATGAAAAATCTTACCTGAGTGCTCTCCGAACGAGCATCATTGTGGTGCGTGAAAATGCGTGCCGACCACTCAAAGAACTGCATTCCGTTAGACTTGCACACCCGCAGGGTTTTTGACACCTCGTGAACATTGATAGAGAAATCTGGACCATTTTAGCAGATCTCGGAACGGTTTTAATGAAACCAGATCTTTCATTCATCGGTGTAGTACGGAGTGTGGTTTTCGACGCATATATGTATGAACTATTCCGCAACTGGACCACTTATGGTCCAGAAGTGATTCCCGAAGCCAAGCTCTTCCCGGAGGGAAGCTCCTATAGAGGAGCGTGCACTTTTTCATTTGGTTCACAGTTTGACTGGTATGGAAGTGGCCGAATCCACACATGAGCATACTTTATTGGGTATCTATCCGGTCACTTGATGTTCTGTCGCTACCTTAAGTAATTTGCCTCAAATCGTGCTTCAACCACCAGACCTTAGTATATTTGATTTGCTGGGTGAATCTCGATGAGACAGCTCACCGTGACCTATCATCGCTCGCGCATAATCGGTCTTGAATCTCAGTAATGTCACTTGATAGTATCATGCTCGTACGCTGGACATTCTTATCTACGATTCTGGTGAATGGCCTACTCTTTGTTGAAGGTGCTCCTAAGCGCACATTGGTTAGGATATCCCATCGCGGAGCCCGCCTCGACATTCGTCTCCTACCGAGTATGATGGCGAAGACCATGACTGCCTTCAACGGAGAGTCGTATTTACTCACTTCTGAAGACCGTGAGTGTGAACGATGCTTCGCGCAAGATGGTATGATCTACGACCTGAACGCTGTAGGGGTCCAGATTGTGGACTCCGCATGCTCGGTTGGTCACAGTCAAATCTTGAGCTACTTAAGGAAGGCTGAGATTACTTTGGGGATTGACTTTGATTGCGAGCCCGACTCAGTGGTCACCATAAACCCGCTGTCCAGGCCTGTTAGGGCACAAAACTCGTCCAATTGTACTGGCGGCAATCCCGTTCTTGGCACCAATGATCCCGGCTCCTCCTGCCAGCGTAGCCTCGAGGTTATCCGCATCGGAGCTGCCTGGCAAGCGGCTCGCTCAGCCAAGCGCAAGCTGAGGGAAATCGTACTGGCCATCAGCGACACTGGGGTTGACATGACTCACCCCGACCTGGTTCACCAGTTCTGGAGGAATCCATCAGACAATTCCATCGGCTACAATTTCATCACGAACAGCACTAATGTTACTGATGACAATGAACACGGTACACACTGTGCTGGCAATGCTGCTGCCCAAACTAACAATAGCCTTGGTATTGCAGGAGTGGCGAATATCGATGGCTCAGTACTCAGTGTGAAGCTGATGATACTCAAGTTCGTCAATGCTTCCGGACGTGGTTGGGTGAGCGACGAAGCTAGGGCCCTCAACTTCGCCGTCGAGAATGGAGCTACAGTGTCCTCTCATTCTTATGGCGCATACGCCCCGAGCCCAATCGCGCGAATCGCCTTTGAGAATGCCGCTGCTGCGGGACATATCGCCGTTGCTGCTGCTGGGAATGACGGACTGACCCTAGAGAAGTCGCCAGTCTATCCATGCTCCTATGCGGAGAACATCACATCTTTGATTTGTGTGGCTGCCAGTACGTCTGATCCTACCAAGCCCATCTCTCTCGTCGACTGGTCAGACGCTGGGCTAATTACGAAGATTGCAGCTCCAGGTGTTGGTATCTACTCGACGATACCTGGTGGATCGTACGCCGCTAGGGATGGTACATCCGTGTCGACCCCCACAGTTGCCGGTGTCGCGGCTCTGCTCGCTACACTAGGTCTAACTGGCCAGAACATAACCGACACTATTTTTGAATCTAGGACGGCCGCTATACCCAATAAGTTCGACTTCTATCATATCGGGGAGATAGATGCACTCAAAGCTGTCCAGAAGGCTCTTGAAAAATTGGGTGGCCGCTCCTTTCGAAGCAGCTGAATCCCTTCCGAGACCTGTGGACTCCGATCATCATTGAGCAAGCAAATCTCGTCTTCTCTCCTTTATTTCTCATTTTCATTTCCAAGAACATTCTTTGTCTTGTATCGTCAGTCAGCTCGTTTAAGGTGACTATTCGACCTTTTATTGAAAAAAGTGTGCTGCTGGTGGATATTTCGTTATGTCATGTTTCATCGAGCCGACGGTTTCTTGACCAGATTGCTGATCATAGGCGTCTTAGACGTCACGTCTCCAGCATGAAGGAAAATAGATTATGATTAAGAAATAATAAGAACAAATTGGATTAGTCTAATTCTCAATCCGTTGAGTTCAGTTCTTCTTCGATTACATGCTGCAGGTAACTTGCAGCACGATTCATGGAACGCACGTGCGGTCTGCGACATGATCATGTATGTCGCAGACCGCAGGTGCGTTTCATGGTAACACATGCGACACCGACCCGGCATGACGCCGCGATCGTGGAGCTTTCTGCCTATCAGCGGGCTCCTCTCGATCCAGCCGTTGCAGTAATGTCCCGCCCACATCTGTTACTACTGGATATGTCCACTAATGATTTAGGCGTGGTCAACCAAGAGGTTGCAAAAGCTCTAGAGACCGTCGGCGGTGCAGTGGTAGCTGTGATGTATTGCTAGTAGTTCATTACTGCTCTGTGCCGGACTCAGCTTCGGGCCATCGAGGAGTATCGCTTTTCAGCAACGTCGATGATCGTCGCTCACTGAGCGATGAGGAGTTCGATGAAGTGTTTAGTGATTATATAAGGCCTCTCTGATCACATGCCTTTTAGAAGCGTGTGATCCGAGCGTTGTTGCACGCAGATCTTTCTACATAGGAGAACCACGAAGCTTAGCTGAGTATCGCGTCTTAAGATCCTATATTCGATTTCTAGGCAATGCAGCGCAACTGCTGCACCCGCTCTGTCGTATATCTGTCGATCACAAATTCAAATATATGACCCCGGCCCGATTCGAACGGACAACCTTCTGATCTGAAGTTAGATGCGTTACCACTACGCCACAGAGCGAAATTGAGTATTGTATTTTGGACTGCTAAGCAACGCACGGCAATCACCACACCCAATCGGTCATACATCTGTTACAAAATCAAGTAAACAACCGCGGCCCGATTCGAACGGACAACTTTCTGATCTGGAGTAAGATGAGCTACCATTGCTCTTCAGGATCGAGCCCGATTGAATTTCCCGAGCGATACGGAAACCGCCATGCCCCCAATTTCACTATGTCTTCTACATGATTAACCTGGTGACTTTATGTAGCAATACGTGTATATCCATGAGTTCCCAAGTTACGCCGATTATGGCATTCCACGCGTTTGCCTGCTGAGAAACATCACACGCAGTGCTCTTCTCCGCATCACCTTTGTAACCACACGATACCCGTAAATTACGACTCGCGGTTAATTCAAGTCATTAGTTACCGAGACAGAACTATTAGGTAGTATATATGCAACATTGTCAGAGCCATCTTCACAGTAGGAATAGGATCAATCAGCTAGACACTCTATAGGCCGCAGTAGTATTAACAGCATAGAACATCTAGTACTATTAACGAGAAACGACACTAACGGGAAGTTGATGACGACGATAGACAATGATACTACGCTTCTAGCACTCGCACTGCTGTACATTGGAGCTCTGGCTCTCCGCAGGAGGGTTATTCAAGTTCAGTGTTTGGGACAAATACCTGATGACGGGATATCTCTGATCCATCTGAATAGCAACAAGGGCGAAGCGTGAGATGGCATCTCACATCTGCTCCTGCTCCTTAGCCATTGCTGCCTCGTTCTGCAGTGCCCGTCGTGCAATTTCGATGAAAGCCTGAGTAAAGATCATGGTAAACAATACAAAGTCGATTCCCGCAGCACCTGCTCAACATTGAGGGAATCCTTAGCGCTAGTCTCAAAACATGGAATAGTATTCTTAGATCTGCACCAAGTGGTAGCCCTTGCCTTCGACACCTATCCATAGTAATGAGTCGCTACTCAGCGGAGGACGCTGAGATCAACTCCCCCTAATACCTTGCGCTTTGCCTCCATATCCAATTTATTCCCGACTACCACAAATGGGAATTCCTCGGGGTCCTTCGGTGATGCCTATTATGGTCAGCTTTATTGCAGAGAATGAGTTCAGATAACTTTACTTGTATGAGGAATTCATCCCGCCAGGAATCCAAGCTCTCGAAACTCTTCGGATTGGTGATATCATAGACCAAGCAACAGCAATCAGCACCACGGTAAAACGCCACTCCTAAAAACAACCCTAACCCATTGAAACGACAAGGCAAGCTACCTAGACTTTGGAATCTCTCCTGGCCAGCTGTGTCCCAAATTTGAAGTGTCACCACCTTGTCGTCGATCGTCACCTCCTTCGTGAGGAAATCAGCCCCAATAGTCGCCTAAAGCCAACCGTATAATTACCGGTCAGATAACGGGCATTGATCCACCTTGTATTGCGGACTGAACTTCTTATTAACGTACTGATTCATTAGAGAAGTCTTGCCCACCCTAAGAGCGACGACCTTCGTGATTTCCTGTGTGTGCCCTCTACCATTACCCGCTATCGCCCAGAATGATGACTTTCAATAGAACCTTCTTCCTAGGTGCTGAGGACATTAAAAACAGAAGGTCTGATTCGCGGCAATGTAGATCTTCAGACTGACGACCTCCCACTGCCCAACACTAGAAAGTTTATCATTCAAATGCTGCAATCCATGACGAAAGGCAGTCACCAGTTCGGACAAAAGCGTCATGCGCGCTCGCCATGTTGATCGATATAGTCAACAACACCAACCCCGTGATCAAGGAAACATCGTTCGTAGACAATCACGCTGATCTAGTGATACATTCAACACGGCAGTGTGTACTGATATCGACCTCGAACTTCTTGCAGGCAGCTTGTAACGACCCTCTGAGAGAATCTCGAGCTTCGGGGGTCATCTGAAAGGAAGAGGTTGCTGGAGGGCTACTTTCGTCCGAGCTGGCAGGGGGCACCTGGAACAGCCAATGCTCTGGTATAGCCCGCAGAACTCTCTCCAGTATCTCCTTCGCATCATCCGCATCATTAAGGGCGCCTAGTCGATCAAGAATCCCGTGAATGAGCAGTTGATCGATGTGAACTGTAGCCAGCGGGAGGAAGGGGGTCCCGACGAAGCACACGCATGAGAATCTAACATCAACAAAATAAATGCTCGGGCATGTACAATTACGTACATCTTGGCCATCCTTCGGGTGATGCGCAGTCTCACTGAAGGATTGCTTGCCTGAAACGAACCCTCCTCCGCAGAAATGCCGCCGAGCCACCCACCATCCACTGGTCGTGGGAGACAATGAGCCCCTCGAGTGCTCGTTTGATCCTCTCCTCACATGCAGTGAGGATCACATCCTTATACGGCGAGCTACCGCTAGCCGAGGTCTCGTCGAAGTCCACGCACAGTCCTAGTAAGTCCTTCACTATCTTCCCATGTTTCATGCTGCTGATGTTCCAAACGTTGCTTATGAAGTGCCGTACACGATCGAAGAGGCATTCATGGACGACGTGGGGCACCACAAGGCTGTCCGCGGTAACAGTAGCATTCATCTCGGCATGATCGAGAGCCACAGGGCCAGGAGGATTGCAGTAGTCAGTAAGACTAATGAACCTATAGGGAGTGCTTCCTATACACATACAGTGCCTTGGGCTTCGAATTTTCAGTGCCATTCGCTCATTAAACCCCGAGTTACGTCATTTTCCACGACTTGCCTATCAAATGCGAACGCACTGTAGGTCCTGAGTAGAGCTTACCACTCCATATCCATCACTTCATCTACCGTAGTAATAATACGCGGCTGATGACGTTCCTCTACATCCTCACCATCACTAGCCGAGAGATTGAACGGGTCCCAATAGAGCAGCTGATATCTGAACAGTGTACTCAGCATTAGAGGAGTTACTCCTATCACCACTACCTCACAGGGATGGCCACTGCCTCCTCAAGACTGGCACCGAGGAAGGCTTGTTTATACAGCTTGGGGCATGCTGTACGAACCTAGAGTCCTCACACTTCATGCTGAGCCTCGTCGTATACGGTGATGGACCCACCTTCTGAAACTCCTGGCAGATCGATCGTACCGAGCTGAAGTCATCAGAAACATCACCCATAATCTGTAGGTGAGCCGCCTGCCGAGAATAATAGCCCATTACCGGAGAGAAGAAGGACGCGTCTACCTTCAGGAACTTCTTCTTATCCGTGGCAAGAGCCTGCCATGTTTGGTCATCATTCTCCTCGATATCGGAGTACTCCCCATCACTAGTAATATACCCATCTTCCGACCCCCTACTCCCGAGCCACTTCAACCTAACATTCACCACATCCGGGCACTTACCACCAGCTGGCCTACCTCGCCTGTGCTAGTCGAGCCTCTTCAGAATCATCCTCAGACGCCCGTGCGTAACTAAGTCATCGAAATGACAATAAGCCCATTAGAAGTTCCCTTACTCTGTCATCAGAGCCTTCAGTTGCCTCTCCTCATGCGTGCGGCATACCTGTAATGGTGGACGTATGGCCTCCGTTGAAGTGCCGAAGTGATGAACTCACATTCTTCTCGATGTTGTCTAAGAGGTTAAGAGCGTTGTCAGTTTGATCATATTTGGCATCATGGAAGCTGCCAAGATCCTCCACGTAGGAACGGAAATCCTGAGACCGGCAGGCGATCGAGCAACAACAACTACCGACAATCACCGACATACCGTAATAACGTCAAGTTTCTCATTCTCCTCTAGACTGTCACTCTCGATGCGGTCTAAGCACCGTTGGCTCTCCGCTCGGTCCGTCTCCAATTTCCTATGTCGGCCTTGGAAGTCTATCAGGTGGACCTAACGTGGGCATATCACACGACCGAAGAGGCCATGATGCAGCAGCGAGAGGTTGTATCTCACCTTTTCAGAGTGAATCTTGCGGTAAACTGCATCGAGGGCCTCCTCCAACGAAGGTATGGGATCAGCAGCAAACAGATCTGAGCGGACGAACATGAATATGTTCGCAGCCGATACAACGATCAAACCAGCGCCCTCGTGATGCTGTTGTGACAAGAGTAATATCAATTGGATATAAATGCACACATAGCTCACCCTCTGCCATTTTCTCTCCTGACGTCTTCTCAACCATCAAAGCAGCATCAGCTCTCTTCTGTTGGAACTCCTTCAACTTCTGTAGTCCCGCTACCTACAACAGCAGATGAAGGCGTCCCCCATTTTTAACAGTAACTACCTTCTTAATTTGGGCATCAGCCCACGTATCATCATCCTCATCACCAAACTCCATTAACTGAAATCGCCATACCATTCCTTTCCATCCTCGGCATCTACTACCTGTTCCCGTTTCCTCTCCACTTCTAACCGATGCAGCATTCCTCGAGTGCTATGCCCTCCTAGACCCCCATCAGTGTCAGTCATCGGAGCATCGTGTGCACTAGGATCCAAATCTATAGTGGCGAACTCCCCCTTTTTCACTTGTGCCGGTGCCATAGCATTTTCTGATGACCTACAGCATAGCCATTGCCCAGAAGCGCACTAGCAAGAGATACTACCTAACCTTCTCCCGCTGCCTCTGCCTCTTCCGCCGGGCAAGGTCTATCACTCCAGGATCTGCCACCATCGCAGGGTCTAGGTCGGTAACCTGAATCTCCTCGTAGTCCTCTCCCGCGTATATCGCAGTTCCCGGTGGCCTTCGTGTCACCGTCACAGGACCTGCAAGCACGCTGACCAGGAGCAGACGGGTGACGGCGTGGAGTTGGGGACCTACCTATGCCCAAAGGGGCCTCATCGAAGTTCTTAGCAGCTACTTCAGCTACTGTGGTCACTCCAATGTGCTCCTCTCCATCAACTCCATCAGTGTCGACCTGAGACCACCACCATGCACACACCATCACTACACGATTGGACTCACCACAAAGAGGCCGCCATCGACTGCTACCATGCCCTGGTCGACCTCCTTCTCTGCACTTACCCTACCATAATCATCATCATCATCTTCCTCTTCAATCTCGATAGTCTCACTAGCCAGCATTGCTATATCTGTCATATTCAATGGTCAGCAAGTTCCGCCCACCCAGTGCGGCTATTATACCGAATTGAAAGGCCCTCAGCCACAGTGTACAATATAGTACCTCCTTCAGTATCGAGACCCTCCAGCCTCCAATCCTGTTGCTGGGCTCTTCTCGTATTGAACGCATGACCCTTGATAGCAGGTGCCAAGTGCTCAGCCTCTCCATTGCTTCTATCATCACTAGTATCCCCACTGTGGCCCGTCGACTCAGGTTTGATACCTATTCATATCAGGCCCCTCCAACATCATCAAGTACACCTCATCAACCTTACCCTTCTTCTCCCTCTTGAGTTCCCTCCGTAGTCGCCTAGACTGCTTAGACTTCATCACTGTCACAGCCTCCATAGAGTCACCCTCAGCGTTGATAGAGAGCAGAGTCGATGACTGAGACGCCGACCCAACCGCCTGTGTGAGTCGCTACATCACAATGGCCGCCCTTGCCAGTACCTCTGGGCTCTCCCCACGACCGCCTTCATCCTCCTCCCCCTCTTCCTCGTCACTATGAACCTTTCGCAGTCCCGTAGGTCTATTCCTATTCCGTCGACTAGCAAACATTATGAGGAAAATGGGAACCCTTCGGTCGCTCCAGTTCCACGTTATATAAGTGCGCACACGGAAGGATACCATCCCCCAGAACTACACAACTCAACAGCCCTGATGCGATACTTATAAAAGCACTACCCGGCGACTGCCGATATCATCATCTATTATGCCCTCGCCACACTGTCGACACGAGTGCCATTATTTGGCATGGACAGGCCGTAGTCCTCGTAGTCAAGGCTCGAGTACTAACCGCGAACAAGAAACAATTTCGAACCGCGCACACCAGGGGGAGGCCATTCTACTTGATTCATCCTATACGATAGCGGCACTGAAGCTCCCCTGCAGAGGCAAACGATCCTCGGCTCCATCTCCTGACGTTGTCTCGTCAACTGTGTCACAGCTGAGACTCCTTCAGTGCGAGGCAGGACTATGAGAAATGATAACCATTATCAAGCCCATACCTAACCCCCCTTTACATGGCATTAGGTGAGGCCTAGTGTGCCGCATCATAGTCATCGCGACGTTAGCACGGAATGCTGACATTGGAGGAGGGGAAGAAAAAAGTGATAACTCTATAGATTCGTTCTACTAGAGAAGTACACTCCAACGCGAGACTTGGGCTTAAGGACGGGAAAATGGTACTAAAAATCGTGGGGTAGTAGATAATGGTGATACACTACGAGCTACTGGTGCTGGAGGACAGGTGACGGAATTGTTCTTTGTTATCCATCCTTCTTTGCCTGAATATAATCATAAGCAGAAACACACATAGCGGGGGTCTCACTTTGCGTTTAGCCAGAAGCTCCTGGATCTTAGCAGCCATACTCCCTCCTCCACTCTTGCCTCGCGTGCCGCCCTCACCTGCAGACCCACCCCTACCTGGTGAAGGACTGAGCTCGAATGTTGCAGAGGGTGCCACTGAAGCTCCCAATGGAGACGAGGAAGAGGAAGTCGATACCACTCCTTCTTGAACAGCTCCCTCATTATTCCCTGCGGCAGTGATGCTCTCCAATAAGGACATGATATTAGCGATATTCTCGTTCTTTACATCACCATTGCCTCCAGCACTAGCCTCCGCAGCTGCCGCCGCCCTTGGGGGCAGTGGGACACTATCCTCCAATCTTATGACAGTCCTCGGCCGTCGAGGGCCAAACAAACTCTTCGCGACCTGTCCAGCAGCATACTCTATATACTCACTCGGTGGAGGGCATGGGGCATCCGGGTGCAGCCGTAACTGCCAAGAGGTAGAGCCATCGAAGTAAACTTGGAAGAGAGCCCTAGGGATGACTCTTGTGTGGTCGTTCTCGTCAGTAGTGGAGGGTATTGCCTCAAACCTCTGTACAAAACGTAGAAGGCTGCTCTCCTGAAAGTGTTCTCGAACATCGAGGGGCACTCCAAACATCTTCTCGAATTCATCAGGGAGGAGCTCCAAAGACAGCTCCCTAGCGCCTCCACCAACACCCATCAACAGTTTAACGATTCCCTCAGCGATCAAAACGAGATGCTTCTTTTTCTCCTCCGCGTTGAACTTCTTCTTTTCCAACTTCTCCTTCGCCTCCTGTTGTCGTAACTGCATCTGTTTAAGTCTCATCTGTTGCAGACCCTTCCCTGCCAGGAATGGCAACAACATAGGATTCGGAGGAGGGACGAATCCACCCGCGCCAGGTGGCCAAGCTCCCTTCCCCTTACCACCACTGGGAGGGCCACTTCCAGTAGGTGATGGGAACGTTGGGGCCCATGGACCACCAAAACCTTTACCTCCATGAGGACCTCCCTTACCCGAGGGAGGCGGGGCCGCTCCTCCTACTCCAGGAGGTGCTGCCGGGGGTACATTCTGCACGGGTGGTCCGGCAGCTGCCACCGACTGTTGCTGGTCTGTGCTGTGCTGCTGCTCATTGGGTCGTTGACTTGATCCCATCCGCTCTCGAACGGCCTTGACGGGGACCTTCTGGCTGATCCCTTCCCTCTTCCGGGAGAACTTGTGCTACTACCGGCCCATCGCGACCCCTTGCCTTCACTCCACTGCCTCCGCTCGTAGCCGTTACCACCCTTACCATGATCTTGCCCGGACCAACTCTCCATCTCATTGTTATTATCATCGCGGCGATCCCCCCATTGACGGCCACCCTTACCACCTTCCCAACGGCCACCTTTACCACCTTCCCAACGGCCACCTCTACCATTACCCTCTCCCCAATGCCCACCCTTCCCACTATCACCCTCCCCAATGCCCACCCTTCCTACTACTGCCTTCCCACTGCCCACCTTTGCCACTACTGCCTTCCCACTGCCCACCCTTCCCACTATTGCCCTCCCAATGTCCACCCTTCCCACTATTGCCTTCCCAATGCCCACCCTTGCCACCCCAATGGCGATCCTGCATTGCTCCCCCTCCTCCTCCCTTACTCCACGAATCCTCCCAGCTGTTATTACCGCCGCCTTTCCCCCAAGACTGAGAGCCTCTCCAATCCGAGCCTTCTTCCATGTGATGATGACGATCTCTTCCACCTCCTTTACCTCCGCCTTTTCCGCCTCCTTTAGATCTCCAACCTTCTCCCTTCCCCCAGTTGTCATACCCCCCACCACTACCAGCATACTTATTCCAACTTCCCGATGACTCTTCCCATTCCCGCTGGGGCCGTTTATTCGAAGGTGGTTGACGGTGCTGTTGCTGCTGACTCATATCGATGATCAGCCAAGTAGAGGAATAATAGCAACAGCAACCCTGACGACGATAACACTCCAGACTCCCACAAATAGACCTATCGAAAACGAAGGCCGAGCATAGTAACCCTCCCATTGACCAAAGCAAGAAAGTAATTCTAACGATTCAGGAAGGACTACCGGATGCTGAGGAATAGTAAGGTCACTCAAGAAAGCAAGATGGGCCGAGCATTATGAGACTCGACTTGCATCACCCTATGTCGACTTCCATCATCGAAGTTTCATCGACCTCATCAGTGTCATCGGAGGACTCGGAGGGCAACTCTTCCCCGTCCACCTCCTCCACCTCCTCCGCCACCGAATGGGTGTGGATGCACCTCAAGGACGAGAATGACGATTTCATAACAGCGCAGTCGTTAAAGAGGTTGCTTGGGGACGGCGTGTCTGACGGTGTCATAGAGCGCATGCTAGATGGGAAGGAGAAGATGACCAGAGAGGAGTTTGAGACTGTCTACAAGGAATGTGGTGTCGATGTCGATGACCATGGGCTTCCAATACAAACCATTGCTAAGAGCAAGTCTCAGTACTCGATAACTTGTTTGGTTCCATCAGGGAGAGAAATACTAGGGAGGTTTTACTCAATTTCCATAAGCTGCGGTCTTCTGAAACGTTCTAGCCAATTTGAAGGCATACTCCAGTAGATTGAGTTGAATACACAACACCCTGGGTAAGCAAATCTCGCACAGCAAATCACATGAATACGTGAAGACAATGTTACACATGCAGTATTCATAAGATACATCGACTAACGCTGGTAAATGAAAAGGATACTAGTCTTTCATTCGACCAAATGACTGCTCTCGTGAACGAACTATATCGGTCTTCACACCTGCATTTCCTGGGGGCAAAAAAAGAGTATAAAGGAGAAGGAGGCGCTCAACAACTACCGAGAGGAATCGATGATACATTCGCGATATTTGAGAGCTCCGATCCTTAATCTTGGACAGTATGTCGGCTCTCTTGTATCCAAGAAGTTCCTATGTATGGGTATAGGGAATATTATCGCACCAGTCTAACAGCCTCACTAGCTTGGAAATAGCGTCCTCTTCAGTCAACTTGCTCGGTAAAATATCCGAGAGATCTCGGTGATGCGAAGTCGATGGTAGTTCAACACTAGAAGGGGTCATGTCTGACGGAGCTACAAGTCAATCATTAGCCGGCGGTGGCGATGACCTACTCATGCCTCGAAACGTCTTTCGCTCTTCTCTCGTGGTTTTTTTCCGCGTAGGAGTCCCTGTAATGGCTCGTAGCTCTCTCACTACTACGAAAAACATTGAAACCTACATGTGGTGGTGAAGCTTCCGAATCCGCCGCCAGTGGCGCAAGTAGTCGACGCATTAGTTTCAACACCGCCGCTGGTACAGAGCAAGCTGCTGCTCTCTTCAGGATCGAGATCATCGGTGAGGAGATGCTGAAGCCAATCTGCATGTACGACATCCTGAGAAGCGACGCTCCGCACCCCACATGATGGCGCCGAGATGCTTACGTGGATGACCGGTCGCTTATCAGCGTCTCTCCGCAGTAGCCGGCAAATGAGCGATTGGGCTTTGTGCGAAATGTGGCTTGGCACATCGAACACTCCTCTAGCAATCTTCCTATATAACTCCTTGTCAGTGGACCCCTGAGCGAGGCAAGGCATCGACTTCGTAAAGTATATCCACGAGGGATACCTTGAAGGGAAAACACCCAGCCAGGAACGTGTGAAGAAGGATGCCCAACGCCCAGATGTCCGCGCAACTCCCGTGAAATTCCCGCTTCTGCACAATCTCGGGCGCCATATACGACGGAGTTCCACAAAAAACCTGAAATGCCAAGATTGAATCCAGCAAACAGGGAAAGGAAGACCCACTTTTATTTTCTTTCCCGGTGGAACGATTGTACTAAAACCGAAATCTATGATCTTGATCTGGGGACCGGAAACGTGGTAGGTGCAGTCAGAGCTAGGGGGCTCCCCATTGGTTTGAACCTGACATATGCTGAGATGATGGATGAACGCCAGACACGTTAGAAAAATATTCATGGGTGTGTAGCTCAGCGGTAGAGCGGCTGACTGCAGATCAGCAGGTCCTCGGTTCAAATCCGGGCGCGCCCTTTTCTATGCTATTTTATTCTGCTCAAGTTCGGCTTAGTGAAGGATCGTGCAGCTCACTTGTGGGTGGAAAGGTGAATGTTTCGGCTTCGTGATGAGACCTCTTGTGTCTACTCCTGATCGGGACGTTGAAAACTTCCCACGGCCAAATGCTAACGCTGCCGGGCCACCGAAGGGCTCGTAAGTATTGCCAACAATGAGTATGTTCTCGAGCTTCAAATCTCTGAATGAAGAATCAAGATATCCAATCACGAGTATCATTTTCATGTTATCCTCCCCACCTGTGAACAATGCATCTATCATGCATGTATTTAACACCCTGTGCGACCTGCAAGAATATTTTCCCAGCAGTGGCCTCATCAAGTCGTCGACCAGGTTTTCGCTTCAGCAGAGCATGCAGGGAACCGCCACCAGCATATCTAACACTACAGCCCTGATATAACAGCCACAGCGGACGAACCTACTCGGTGACGATGAAGATTTGCCGAGTAGAGTCCAAAGCATCGTGGAAATGAATAATGTTGGGATGCGACATCCGCTCCAGCAGCTTGATTTCCCGCTTAACACCCTTCCGTTTCTGTGGGTCCAATAGCTTTATTTTATCATATACCTAGCACATGCACTCTGAGTATAGTCGTAAGGTGGCTCGTCAGTGTTCACCTTCATCGCCACATTCGTCCCTGTAGGCATGTGATGTGCCAGTCGAACCGTAGCATACGCTCCCTTGCCCACCGATCTCCCAAGCTGACAGCCGACGGTTGAAATTTATAGACAACACACTATCCTCTCACCTGATAATCCTCGAGCTTTGTACCGAGCTTACCCACACCTCTCTTATGATGCCGCCTCGTCTCCCCCTCTGTTGGTGATTGGGCCGTATGGACGTTCTCCCCGTGAACAGCGGGGGATGTCGTCGGCCGGGTATGGTTGAGTGCATTCCGAATCAAGGATTGCAGCTCAGTTGGGACGGGCAATTTCAACGTTGTTGTGCGTTGCTGTGAAGGTATCTACGACATAAACGAATACTTCAACAAAACTAGTCATCCAGTCAAGGTACTTCTTCAGGACCACCAGCGTTTCCCTCAAGCGATTGACTGATGCCTCTAGGAGATAAGGGCCTGAGGTGGTATCTCAGTTCATGACAGAAAACTACCCCCTACTTCTCCTCATCGCCTCCCTGCTCTTTTCCGCCACCTTTGTTCTTCATATCCTCTACGAGTTCGGGTAACTGCAATCAATCGCATGAAGAACAATGCCAACAGCACTCCCAAGGCCAGTCGTGTCATCGAAAAACGATTTAGTCTTTCAAATGATCTATTGCTCCATAAGAACTAAATGAGCTACTACTACTACTACTACTACTACTACTACTACTACTACTACTACTACTACTACTACTACTACCGCGGTCTCTTCACGCGCCTCTCTTTCATGCTGCACTGGATCCATCTTCTCGACCGCGTGGTCGGATTTCCGAGGGGTAACTCCGTCAGATGACAGTAAGCCTCGATCCACTCTGGCATCCACTACCATCGCTGGTCGGCTTGAAGACAAATTTCTACTTGGCCTGAGCAGCCGAAAAAATTGAAGCTGTTAGAAGAAAAGATACTACCGAAGAGATTCTGGTAGCTTGGTAGACGACGAGCCGGATGCATCGGGGCCTATCTTGTAGGGTAATCGAGCAACCTAGGGATGCGAAAAAGTCCGAATACGGAGGGTTTTTACCCTGGCACTCTCACTTGGTCGTCTGTGGCATCTTTTCTATGGTTCAGGGAGCGCAAATACTCGCTCAAGCCAGCTGTATTGGCAGAGGCTTGGGTGGGACTCTTCCCTGTCCGACTTTGCAGTGTTGGAGAGGAAGAACGGAGACCACCCGGTGTGTGTGCGGACCGTAGACCAGCCGAACCAGTTCGTCCTTGCAGATCTGATTTGAATAGAGTAGATTTCTCCTGTGTAGTCGTCGTGGCTTGCACCTACTTCTCAGCCTTGTTATTCCAGTATCCAGAGGCGGCTTTTCCTTAACCCTCCGAAGTTGCCCTACACCAATACCAACACTACTGGGTCGAAAGCCACCTCTAAGAGGCTTCTCTATCTGGGCATCTGCATGAGAAACAGCACTACGCCTGGTCCTAGTGGAGAGGGATGTACCGGGAAGATCTTCCAATGCTCCCTTTTTCCTAGGCATTCCAGCTGAGGTGGCCGGCCGACTTCTCCCATCATCTACGAGAATCCATATGGTTTGTCACTACTATTGTGGTCGTACTAATGATGACCATTCCATCATTCAACTCGACGAGGCTAATACAGTGCTCAGCGACCAAGCCAGGCTTACCGTGTGGTTTCTTATTCCTTGATTCTAACGCCTCCCTTTTCTCTGCATCAAGAGGCAGCCCACCAAGCGTCGGGGGCCGCCTCGACACCTTCCGGTAGTACCGAAGGCCTTGAGAGGAAGGCCGGGTTGGATAGCCCCGAGTCCCGTACATACCACAAGCTGCTCAAACGATGTGGGAGTTTCCACTGGCATTCACAATTTAGGGCGAGCGCTAAAGTACCTGCGCTGTTGGCTGGCCGCCTCGCCCGCCGCGGCTTGCTCAGTGATGTTGACCCTCGGATGACATCGAACGGTTCATCGTTAGTCTCTAACGAGAGCTTCACCTTTTTTAAATCATCGGGTTCCCTCCTCTCCTTCTATTCTAATGCTTGCTATGCGCCGTGCTTCTAATTCATTGGAGAGATCAAGTCGTCGCTATTCGTTCAACAGCAGGGTGGGGATACAGATTACCAGCAACTGAGGGGATGCTCATTCCCTTAGGCGACATTCACTGGCATAAAAATGATGAGTGAGCGCGAGAGAGCGGCTGAGAATATCTATTTCTCACAGCAGGACGGTAGGTCTTGGAACGCATCTTAGGTTGAATTTTGCAAGATACGAAGTATGTCGCAATATGCAACAACTCCTCAAAGCCTGCGGTGTTTTCACTCGTGTTATGTCAGAGGCGCTCCTGAAGAAGATCTTGGAGGACAATCCTGAAATCGAAGTAGAACGAGACCTGCAGAGATCTGTAAGCCCGCTTCTGCCGCCAGTCCCACTGCTTCCCCAACTTTTTGGTGGATCTTTCATCACTACTACAAAAAATGTAACGTATTTTTTCAGCCAGTACACACAGGCAGCTCTATTCAGGATAAAGTGAAAATGCTGTTCATACAGGTAAATGTTGTGGCTTTTGTCAGGAGTGTTTGATACTGATTTTCAGAACGGCATCCCACCAACGGCGAACCCTCCTCTATTAGAAGATCTCGTACAGCTCATTGCAGAGGAGAAGAAGGCTAGTGCGAGAGAAGCCAGGGCAGCAGAGGCCAAGGCGTAAAGTCTGATAGAAAAACAGGAAAGTTGCGCCCTAGTACCAGTAGTCATTCGTCGTTATTTCATGGGTACAGTCTCTAGTAGTGGCCGATGATCACTACTCTTGATCATAATTACGTAGCACATGTCAGTAAGTGGTTGACGGTTGCAAGGGGGTGTCGCTAACATGCTTGGTGAACTGCCAAAAGCACAATTCCTTGTAGTAGTTGAAGTCACTTTTCGTATGATTGCCGTTCTGTTTTATGCACTAGAAGTATCTTATGGCTCGATCGTGATGATTTTGGAGCTAGATTCGTCTGAGTGTACTTCTTTGAAGGTCTGAAAGGAGCTTTGATTACATTTTTAGACACATTTTTTGGGACCATGTTATTCCAATTGGTGTTGAGTGGTAGTCTTCACAATGACGACTCAGCTCGAGAGTAAGGGGGCCTGTCTAGGATCGCGTGGAATCAACTGAGTCTTGGTCTCCACTTGGCAGAGAAGACAGCGATGACAGATGAATCATTCTTCAGGTGGTCAATCAGGGTTAGTTTCTTTCTTTGGAACTGTGATCCGATAGTAGAAGAGTTTCGCATTGAAGTACCTATTCTACCATCACTCTGTGGAAAGCAAGTGTGGGGGGCCGTTGGTTATATCGAAATATTATCAGAGAATTTGATTAATACATTTGTTATAAGTATGAGAGCAGCAACTTCTAGTTCTTCGTTACGACAACTACAAGCTCTGGGTAGACATCTGTCGAGGATCGAGACACCGAGGCTTGTGGTTATGGAGAGCGCCTTTGCGTATAACAGGGAGAAGATGGACCATGTTTTCAATGTGTAATACGGTGGGTACACTTAGTCATACCTACTATACTGAGTTGTTAAAAACATAGGATTCCACTTGGCAGTCAGAATCAAGTTGCTATGTCGGATCTGTCGTCTCTGGGAAATCGCCTGGGACGTTTTTTGATCCCTCCAGATTCCCTCGGTTTATGATGCTGGATCATGGCACTATATGACTTGAGCCAATTCAGGCTAATAGGAATACCCCTCGACGCTCACTATTGCCTTCGTCTGAATTGAACCTTTATGTCCATATCCTCGCTCGTCCTCTGTTTTCAGTCATGAAAATCTTTTGAAGTGCGATTTCCGTCCGCACGCTAAGGCCCACAAGAGCCCAGCCATTGCACGCATACAGCTGGAGGTAGTTTCTCGGGGATTGATCTTATCTGGTTCGAACTCATTCTCAGGACGGTGCAGTAGGATTTGCATGCCAGACTCTCACCGAAGCGGAGGCTTGTGTTAAGGTGCTAGTGGGGACAGTACTTCCCGATCGGAATCTTCGAGGCGAATTGAAACGTTAGATTGCTTCTACATTGTGAACTTGTCAGGGCGGAGCTAAAGACATCCTCGTCTCGAACGAGCCTCAGCTGCAAGCCGATTCTCTGAAGAGGCTGGTGGACATCGCGAGTCGTATCGACTCCTTGAAGGTGCTGTGGGAGTGGTCGTTTGAGAATCACAGTTGATGGCGTTGACTGTTTACTCACTGATTCTCGGCTCCTTATACTTGCTGCCGCTCAAAGTGTGTGTTAGGTGTGTGTGGATCATCCACATCAAGTAGCATGCTTATCAGCGGCCGTAATGCAGTATAATCCTAAAGTCAATGTAGAGTGTGTGATTGATGTCGACGTTGGGCAAGGTCGTTGTGGCCTGTCTACACCTGCAGAGGCTGTTACTCTGGCCCAGAGCGTCCTGAGCCTTGAAGGGCAGGGAGTGACATTCAAGGGTGGGATACAGGTAGTACAGAATATAGGAATGTCGTCTAAAAGCCGTCTCGGTAGTGGTTGTATGCGTTAGCGGCATCTTTTGCTGTATGTGGAATGTGTGTACTTAGGCGTATCATGGAGGTATACAACATATAAGAGATCCAGTGGACCGGAAGAATGAGAGTGATGTCGTGGTCCAAATTGTGGAGGAAGTCCGGAGGGAGTTCGCCAGAGCTGGTTTGCTCATCACTAGTGTTACGGGTGGGGGAACTGGTTCCTTTACGATGGAGGGCAACAGTGGACAGTTCACGGAGGTAATACCCTTTATCTAAGACGGCTGAAGGGGTAGAGTTGGTGTTGTTCATATTACACGAATCCACATATAATTTCATCTGTGTCATTCGTTTGGTACAATGAGAGGTGTTGACTGTCAGGTCCAACCAGGGTCGTATATTTTCATGGATGCTGATTACTGTGCTAACCATGACGACATCTTCAAACCCAGCCTATTCGTACTGTCCAGTATCATAAGTAACATAGTTGTTTACATCCTGATCTATCGTCTGGAGCCGCTTCTCGTTAGGCATTGGTGATGGGCGTCTTGTGCTGGACGTTGGTACTAAAGGCATGGACTACAGCTGTATCAAGTGAGCACAAATTGGCATGCGTGTGAGCTACCGTATCAGACGTTCTTTTCCTGAGTAGGTCCCCAGTGTTCTATGGTTCGGTTCCTGATGGGCGTGGTCCCGTCGAAGTGTCACCCTACTTTGGTGCTGCAGGAGGAGCGGCTAAAGGCATCACAGTTCATTGCGCTGGGGATGAGCACACAGTTTTGAAGGGCAGCAACGAGTCTCTTAGAAGCTTGGTCGGGGAGCGCCATTGTGCAAGGCCTGGTGGAGCCGTCTTGATCCAGCCAGGCCATTGTGATCCAACTGCCAACATGTGAGCGACTTCGAAACTAGTGGTCCCAATATCGAGTCTGCTAGGTATGACCACATGCTTTACGTCGACGATGAGACTGCTACCGTCAAGGACGTTTGGGAGATCAACCGAGCTGCTGGTGGATAAACAGAATAGATTCGGGTTTCTTATCTTTATCAGTTTCAGATGAAATGGTATGGAGTTGTGTATAGGGCTATCGAGTAGCTTGTGATTCAGTGGTTATTATGTTTATGCGGAGTCATCTTCTTTTCTCTGCTCCTAGTTCCTCAGCTGAAGAGGATGAGGTGGTGGTGCCCGACTCGGTGGTCTGCCTGTTCGCCGATCTACGTTCAGCTGCTATCGCCGTTGTGTCGAAGATCCACATAAAGAACTTAGGCCCCGAGGCGGTCCAGACGGTGTGTCACGTGATGGGTCAAGCTAGGACGTGCAGGCGTATAGCGAGTTTGCTGCTCCTATCGTATGATGAGCTCCTCAGTATCCCTCGGAAGAGCACCGTCTGGGGCATGCGAAGGCAGGCTCAGTGGGTCGATAGCCTGTTACAGGTCTCAGCTGAAGGACAGACGTTACATGGTGCGGTTGGTATAATAAGGAATGCATTGGATGAGCTCAGATTCGCCACGGGAGAAACCCATGACAATGACGGTACTAGCGAACTACTGGAGCAAGTTGGGAGGCAGCTGGTCGGTGATGCTGCGATGCTCAGCTCGTATCCCGCTCATATTAAAATACAGGCTGGGGCTGTTAGCATAGTATTGGGTTTTGTACCGGATAAGGCAACATTAGATCTCGTCGAAAAACGGTTAAGTCAAATTTATGAGGCGGCAGACACTACGGCGGAGTCCATTTTGAAAAGGAAGCATTTGCCCATCAAGCTGGTGAACAACACGCCTTCCACTTTGAAGGTTTGTCTATTCAAAGCGACCGACCGTGTGTGCATGTTCCCTGTAGAGGAGGGCACTCAGACGCTTGTACCGGGAGGTGTGGCTGTAGCTCGACCGATATGTCCCTCTCTGGACGCGTTCTGGGCTCGGGTTTACTATCCAAGAACCCCAGTCGATAGGCAAGCACATTCTGGGGCCCGCATAGTGCGAGGGGAGAATTTGGTGATTGATGGTATGGGCTCGGATATGACTGTGACGGTCGAGACTAATTTAAATAAGGATGAAGACGAGGAAGACGATTATCGGGTTGACTATGAAGCCTCGAGTCATTAAAGTGTATCATTTGAAGTCGAATTCCGTTACCTAGAGGGGATCCAACTATTCAATACCCGAGTATTGCGTTGAGTGGGGTATCATTGAATCAACTGTTGAAGGGTTATTGCTATAAATTTGGTAGCGAGCAAGCCGCAGTGATATCCATCTCGAGTGTCCTTTGGGTTGGGAAGGGCATCACGTTGGACCAATGTGGAAAGCAGTGGGCGTTCTTCGTCATACGGCTAGGTTTTATTTTGCAGTATTATGCCATCAGTGCGGCGCTTGCCGCTACTCCACTAGAATGGCCAAGTCTGACGGCAAAGCAGGAGATTCTCAGGCAGATGATTCTGGTGTGTTGAAGCTCGCAGAGAAGGAACGGAAGAGGCAGAAGATGCTGGACTCTGGTTTTACTGAAGCAGAGATCATGGCTATGGAGTTCTCACAGGAACATGGGTAAGAGTTTCGGTTAAGTTCTGCTAACTCCGTAATTGATGTGTGCTCTTTGGTGGCCATACATCACGAGGATGCCATAAAATTTGCGAGATAAGTCCTCCATGGTTGCCATGGGCAAGTTCTACACAGTTCAGCTCAACTATATGCTTACTGTATGCCCCAACACCACGAAAGCTTACCGAGAACTACTCGAGCTCTGTAACGGACATGGTTCTCCTCTCGCTGAAGGCCTCCATTGTATTTTGGTATTGACGGAATCCTCAATAGCCTTCAGAGAAGAAGATATCCAGAGACTTCCGTCCAGGTTATAGTAGTCGTTTCGACTACACCAGGATTCCGTAATTGGGCTGAGATGTTGGCCGACGATGCCTGACGGTGTCTCGCAATACATTATTGACAGACGTTATCTCATACCTTAAGGGCGGGACTTCCACAACGGTCATGCTCTCGATGTGTTAGAGGTTGCCTTCCTTGAGATATCTGGGACCATGCAGTCCAAAGCCGTCGCTTTCGGACTGGTGAGCGGCTCGCACTCCGCACAGAATATTCGAGGTGCTTTGATCGGGTCGATGAATACACTTGGCTTTCGACTAAGCTACAACGTTTACTGTAAGGCCCATTTATCGTGCTAACTTCGCTGAGTTTGGGCTCAGTTGGCAGCCCGCGAGTCAGCGAGAGCTATAGAAAATGCTTCGCCGCGACTTGTGTGCTGAGATCCCGGAGTCAATGGTTTGGTACACCTTGTGCTTACCAACAATTTCGGCTTCTGGTTCCGGATGCGCATTTTACTCCCCTGGGCTTAGCAGATTTGGACGATCGATTATTTTCGAGTGTCAGCTTGAGGTGTCACTCAGTCAGAGGGTTAACTTATGTGTAGATGAATGTATGTCGCTATAACTAGCTAGTAGCTGGCAGCTACTGAAACGAGTAGCTAGAAGAGATTGATCCAGTTGAGCCCCACCACTGACTTGCCCTGAAACTATCTCACGTGACGTGGGTCACGTCAACCACGATTCGGATGCCAATTCAGCTGATCGGACATCATTCGACAATTGCCTTATCATCACAGTTTTGAGTTCTTCGAACGATGGCATTATGTGCCGAGTCGCTCAACTCGATGCCCAACGCATGCCTCGGTGTTGCCTGATGGACGAGATCGGGTCAAGAAAATCGGAACCCTGACGCAATCATCGAAATTTTGTAGACTGAGTTTCTTGTGATCTCTCACCAGATGCCGACAACATAGTCATATCATTGCGTATTCACTGCTTCAGGATGTATCAGAACCGATTGACGAATGCCGATGTTCGAGGAGACAGTACCGAGAAGAAAGAGAAGAAAAAGAAGAAGAAGAAGAAGAAGAAGTCCAAGAAAGAGAAGAAAGCCAAGACGCCAGATGGAGAAGTGATAGATTTGGACAGCAGCAAGGAAGATGATGAGAAGAGCAAGGAGAAGAAGCATAAGAAGAAGAAAAAGAAGGAAAAAAAGCACCACCATCATCACCACCACCGTGAGCAGGATGGAGACGAATCTGTGAGCACCTCTGGGCTACTCCAATGTGACCCGGAGGATGATGATGAGTCGCGACCTGCGGATCCTTTCAACCCTCTGAATGAGGCCTACGACGTTGGAAAGTATGAGGAACTCCAGCACCGGTAAGAGGAGCGATCAGTAGCGAGAGGTCGATGGCATACTGGTAGGCATAAGCGAAGGCGTACGCATGGACGGCGATGGGATCATGACTGGTATCGTCAACGATCACCGTCACCGATACGAGAGAGGTGAGAATCGGAGCTGGAGCAGACAACCTCATCTAGCGTCTATCAGGACGGATGGGCCGATGTGGGATACACGAGCAGGGTCTTGGAGGAGTCGAGCGGGGGTAAGACTTGTCGCCCGACGATGGATAATTAATTGAAAGACGCGTAGACATGTTTCGGCACGGGAATGGGTCTTCGATGATATTGGACATATGTTTCACCCTCGTAACATTTGTTCTCAGGGAGTGTGTTTGGCTCCCACAGAAGAAGATCAAGAGGAAGAGCCAGCACGGTATAAGATACCGTTGAGGGTTCAGTTGTATGAAAGAGAAAAGGAAAAGTGGGAGCAAGAAGAGACTCAATGGCCGCAGCAGGATCAGGGAGGTGAGATAGGTCTAATTAGTGACTACACGGGTCTATGTCGACATTCCCTCAGACAACTGGGCAGCATCGCCGCCCGAACCCACAGAGGAGGTGGATGAGGGGCCTCGGCCTAGGCGAGGAAGTCCGGTCTATGTGCTAGACGAACCCCTTTAGTTCCCATCCAGCCTCGTTTCCATCGTGTTTTTCTCACAGCGGGTTGTGTTACTCAGCAGTTGGAAGTATTGGCATTGACCCATTAACTTGTGACGCTACGACAGGAATAGGAGAGCAACAAAGTAGCCGGAATATCACACGCCAGCGAGGAAATAAAATATACTCGGTCTGTCTAGCACATTGTGGAATATAGTGGCAGAAGGACCTTCAGCTTCGTGTTCGAGGGAACCGGTTCGGCATATCGTGAAATATCTTCTCACCGTGTGTGTGTCTGTGTCTGTTCTGAGTTAGACTCGCAGCTTAGTTAGACTCGCATCGATGCACCTTAGCTCCCGAGGGATCAGTTTTGGCCTTCTAAATTGTCTACTTTCATCATGCCAATGAGTCTTGTCCACAGGGCGAGATAACCTCTGCCAATATACTTCCTCACCGTATGTGTAAATCCTCGTTCGGAACGAGTCGTTCTGATAGAAGAACCTTTGAGTTATGAAACCAATACGCTAATAGCGTGACGCCACCCACTTCGCAAAGTTACTTCCACACTTACAAGTTGTAAGTTACAACCACAGGCGGACATGGACATGTCAGCACGTCCTGATCAGTAATAGCAGCTCCTTGTTTCGATCAAGGGACCTTTGGGTTATGAGCCCAACACGCTATCCACTGCGCCAAGCTGCTGATAAAATATATTTATGTCATCCAATTACACGAAATATTTCACAAATTTGCAAGCATTCTGTCCACTTCGCGGGGTTACTCATAGAGAGTTTTACTCGGTTCGGTTAGACTTGATACTTAAGATGCGCCCGGACTCTTTGTTGCGTGTTAACTCGAAGATTTCGACTCGTAACTTGACTACAAGATGATAGGTTGGCAGAGCTATGTTTTAAATAGCAGCTCCTTGTTTCGATCAAGGGACCTTTGGGTTATGAGCCCAACACGCTATCCACTGCGCCAAGCTGCTCATATATTTCCACACAGAAGTACATCACTCGTGCCACACAGCGATAGATTCCGAATAGCAGCTATTTTCGATCGACTTGAAGTTCACGAGCCGAAACCTCCTTGGGATCTTTCTTGGGTTTAGCTTCTCATAACTATGCTATCGTTCAAATCTTAGAAGAACGTGTCCTTCCTAAGCATTCGGTCTACGAGCATTTCCTCGCTCTTCGTATCGGCCTGGCCGATAGTCAAATACAGTCTTGGCCTCTCGTCAGACGTCATCTGCAGTCGTTGCCCTTGTCGGCACAGCACAGGAAGAAAAGCGCGGCTGACGGGTAGAGAAGGAATGGTTAGAAGCTGAAGCAGCCTGATTATTGAAGGGTGATGCTGATGTTGTTCATCCTTCTGAACTCGAGTGTGGTTTGTGCCAACTTGGCACGATTTTGCCGACATCTTGATCAACAACCAATATCATGTCAGTCAACTTACAGGTAGATAGCAGACTGTTCCCATGGTCGGAGTTTACGACGAGATCAGCTACAATAATGCTAACGGATCTGGGCGGAGTGAAATTATACTCTCTGTCGCCTTCGCTATCATCATAGCGTTACGGAGTGGTTAGCATGTGAGGTCTCCATAAGATTTTCCTGGACTCTGCCCCATCATTTCGGGAAGCCCCACTTCCCCACTGTGAACATCACTAGTACAGGCTCGGTCGAAACCTCTCTATCACATGGAAGTAGCGTGTGGTTCGTATACGATAGCGACATACAAATTGCAAGAGCCCAATCGGGCGATAATCAATACAGGAAACTCGTCACTTCAATTACTAATAGGACTTCAAACGACATAGGGAACTACAACGATAGCCTCTGCATCGTAGCTCCTCGCATATATAAACGAATAGCCAGTAGTGAATGAGTTTAGAAAAACCGATTGTGACTTAGGAGAGATAAAAAGCACTAGGTGATGATTCCGCGTTGATGTGCACAGTATTGAATTACTGATATATTGTGAGTAGAATAATGGGTGGTATTAAATAGATACGGTATTGCTCCGTCCTAATATGCGAGGGGTGAAGAATTGCCTCGCAGGTTCAGATTCGGGTTGGAGTGCAGTTTGGAGAAACCTACCAAAAGGATCGTACCAGCCACACACGGCACGGTGATATTCCATTGGCATCTGTTGAGTTTACTTCATGAACGTTCGAGATGAGTGAAGATATCGACGGAGCGTTGAGTAGTGACCATGATGGTTGGAATGGCGTACGACGTAGCGATAGATCTCATCAGAGAGGCAGGGGTCTATTGGCAGGCCTGAGAATACGTTTTGGAGAGGCACGGTGGACTCCGAGTTAGAGACCCACATCTATAAGTTACAGCAGCAACAAACTCAGAAAATCCTATGTTGCCCCGACTGTCTTTTCGCAGCTGAGACACCAACTCGCGTGCCCTTGCCAGAGTAGCATGCTGGGAAAATGCCTAAGATGAGATAGATTTTTCTTCGGCGAGGTGATAGTCCTTGGGACTCACCCTCTCCATGATACCCACCGTGATGTGACCATGAGTCGGCTCGGCGAGTTGCAAGAAGAGTCGGCAAAGTCTCGACGAATTCGAACCAACTGAAGTTCGCGATGCAACAAGTCGGTGAGCTTCACGATGATCTGCCGGAGCTCGAGCGAAACTAATCGGGATCGGACATCATCGGAGTCCGATGATAATAGCCAGTCTCACTTGAGTGCAGCTTTGAAGAGCGGCTCCGGCAGCGAATGGCTGTGCATCTGAGCGAGGACCACATGGTCTCCCCTAGACCGACTACGAAATGATGTCCAACCAACATGGATACGTATGGCGCTGGTTTTAACATTATCAAAACACTATTAACAAGAATGCCCCGATATCTACGAGTACTGACAAACTCTGAATATCGTTCCCGACTCGAATGTAAGATGTTATACATTTCCTCACCACGGGGGCCTTCCTAGTGAGGAGCTCATGATGGACCAGCTGGGGAGCTGAATATCGTCTCGACTCATCCCGTTGCAAACATCGATGTACGAAATCGCCAGCTACAGGATCGATGCTACTAACCTAACGAGCAACGCCCAGTGGCCCTTCCCATCGGAAGACGACATCCCATACGTGGGTTTGTATTGCAGCATGCCAGGACTGTTTAGTGAGGTCATGATAATCAGATTGCAGGAGGATATGGGTGAGCTCATCTACGTTGCTGCATTGGAAGGGGAAACTACCTCCGGTAAACAGACTGTACCTGTCGACCCACACACTCCTCCAGTACCCCTCATAACAGCAGCCTTACGCTACAACTCCCAGAGACCAGGAGTCACACAGTAGTCCAAAGTTACGTTCGAATACCTCCGGGGCTGCATACATAGGGCTGCCCTCAGCCTAAAGGGCCACCTTCATAGTGACATACAAACCCTTTAGGCCCACTTTGCTCCTTCGCTCCCTCGAGTCCATCAGAGTCTCCGCAAAGCCGAAGTCCAGAAGTGTGACCCTCAGACGCAGCAACCTAGGGTGGAGCTATGCTACTACTAAGAGGGGCCTTAGGACGACCTCATCGCATGCTCCTCGTCCTCCTGTTGTGGTTGTGGGGGTGTTGTCAGTTCCGGTGGGAGCTGTCCTGCATGGGGAGAGCCTTGATGATAGTGATGGTGACTGTACTGCATTCGTAGACCGTTGACCACTATGTTGCACAGTTTGATGTCCTTATGGATGATCTGTGGTCCAGGCTAGCACGGCTCACGCCGGTGGGAGGGTACCACCTTCCTAGAGTGAGTGTGAGACACAGCTAGGGTCAGCTGGTGGACTATCTCGACAGCCTCATCGAAGCTAATACCAGTCCCACGGACCTTGGCTGTCTCCAATGCCACGCTGAGGGTAATGCCAGGTACCTGATAAGATGCTCCCAGAGGGCCGGCCCCATACTGCCGCCGCGGACCCTGTCCATGATGATGTGGATGCCTGAAGGACCATGGAAGTACCTGGATACCAGGGGTAGGAAGAGGCGGAGGGTGATGGAGTAGTACTCATGCATCTTGACTATGCAGGGATGGTCCAGCCTTAGCATTGCTCCTATCTCACCAAGGAGGACTACTCCCACTCCCGAGGAGCATTTACTGTCACTCATTGTGTATATGGACTTAACTACAGAGAGCGGCGGCATTACTAGCGACATACCGAGGTAAGGCAGGACGACCTACCGACTCGACAGCTTCTATTGGACATCGATACCACATCAGGGGACTTCCTAGGCCCCAATGCTGGACTCCCTCCTCCTCTATGCGACGGCGTGGCGTGGACCCCGGCCGAACGCTACCAAGGACTGGGCACTCCACTGCAGCATCCACAGGCGCCTTACTTGTCTCATCATCCTCCGCATATCTTGACTAGGACCCCCCTGCGATGGAGTCGCCATCGGTGTGGCCACATCCACAGTCCGGCGTACACTAGGCCAACAGAAGCGGACAGTACCATATGCCCCACCACCAACACACTGATCCGATACCTGAGGTCCAACATAAGGAGGAGGGTGAGGAAGGAGCCATCACCGTGTAGTATTCTTTCAGCCTTCTGCCCACGACCAGTGACCCCCGACATTCCTTGCTAGCCAGAGCGTCATGTAGCAGGACCAAGATGCTCTCCACTACTCCGGCTGGACCTGTCAATGACCATATCTCTGGAAGAAGACGATAGAGAGTTATACCATATTCAGCCCCGTCCTTCCTGAACCTGGCCCAGAGGCGTTCAACTGCCGTGTCGGGCAATGCCGACAGCGAAGCGCTGCCCCCGTTGAAGAGACGGGCCTCCAATGACAGCTTGAAAGGGCTCGAGCTGCTGAGTCTAGCAATGATGGTAGTCACCAGCCTTCGGAACCCTGCCGGGGCGGTCGGCAACCTACAGTCAGACTCGATAGCTGCAATCAAGGGAGGGGATTTGCCTACCCGTGCATTGTGACCTCCTCGGCGAGCCTAGCGACTCTACGGGGGTGACACATGACCTCCGCCAAAGTGTTGGTGAATGACTCTATCTCGGTGCAGTCCGTGACTGTCTTAGCACGCATGAGGAGATGCCCACCCGGGGAGGTGGCAAAGGGCCGCGGAACGGCTGTGATGGCGGTTGTGGGAGACCGTACCTTGAGTCCATGATAAAGATGGTGTCGTCGCCCCCTGGCAGGTACGCTGGTAGCAGGGGTCATCGCAGGCAGGCGGACGCATTCCGAAGGGATACGAGGGGATGACCCAACATCACTAGCGGTCTCCTCCAGGACGAACGATACCTGTTAGGCACTGGTCCAAGGGGAAGGGGCATGGTCTCGAACACTACCTTCTTAGGGGCACGGGGGACAGTCATTGTGTCGGGATATCTGATCATCCCAGTTCGACCATTACTGGCATGCGGGGGAGGGGGCGTGGAGGCGACCGTCTCAGGTGTTCGAGGAGTTGGCCTAGTGGAAGTGCTGCTCGTACCATTGGTGAATACAAAACCTGAATCGGTATCATGGTTGGGTGTAGCTATGGTCACCTACCTGTAGTGTAGGACTTTATGAAGCCAGGATTGCCCCCACTCCCTGGAGCCGCGGAGTTCCTACGCTCCGGTTGCTGCTGCTGCTGCTGACCAACTCTTCCCCCTAGGGGAGTCCCGACCATGCTTGGACCACCGAAAGAGAAGGAAGGCCTGGGACGATGATGACCATAATAACGATGAAGGACTGGACGTACCTCCGGTCATTGCCAAGTGTCGACCGAGGTTGGATCCTCGGGGTCCCAGCCATGGATGGGCACAGGGAAGGAGGGCTCACATTGTCGAGTATAGTGGGGAAGTAGACGGGTGTAGAGGGCCTTTGAGGGGACATCCCATTGTAGCTATTGCGTCTGCACATGAGCACTACTACGACACCTCGCCAGAGTAACTAACCTCAAGACCGGCCTAGCGAAGGAAGGTGGGGAGGTTGGCTGCACTGTATGCACAAGAGGCATTGGGTAGAAGGGCCCAGGGGATAGAGAGGGCCGAGGGCTCCTATGCTGCGGGCCGAAGCCACCAAGCTGTGGTTGCGGACCAGTATGGCGATAGTGGACGTTCAATGGGGAGTACAGTGGCCTGGTGACGGTGGACTGTTCAGGACTGCCGCTACTACTGCCATTAAACATATCGAAGAAAGGCTCTGACCATCATAGTCCACAGCGACAGGTTCAGCCGTCAAGTACCAGGCTAGTCTTTGACTCAACAACACAACACAGATCCTCAATGCAACTACATTTCCCATTCTCATTTCTAGAGTTTGAAACCCTAGGATGATGAGCCCTCCGTCATGTTAGTCGTCGCTGGGGCGCTCTCTCTCAGGGGACGCATTAGTAGATTCCCATACAGAATAGACTTCGAGTGAAGTAAGGCAAACTCTACCTTCCCTCCTTCCCCCCTACACCAACAGAGGTTGACGTATCAAAGGAAGCAGTCGAGCAGAGCAACATGTGTGGCTACTAGTCTAAAGGTAGGCTTACCGCCTAACACACAGCCGTAAGGGGCTCTTAGAAACAGGTGTAGGGTAGTCGTGCAGTAACTATATGGAGTGTCGATTCAATGCCCTGGGGGGAATGGGTTCGGTTCGTACTTCCCCATCAAAGCGAATGTGTGGTTCACATCTGACAAAAATAAACTCATCAAAGCCCATCACTCTAACTTCACCTCTGTGGTGGCTCTCGTCAGCTCGCATGCAGGCAAATACATCCCTTAGTGTAGCAGAGGAGGGCAGTTGGTAGTAGTCCTGGGCCACGAAGGGGGCCTGCTGTAACGCGAACTCGGGTATTTGACCTAAAGTAAAGTAAGGCTCGAGAACAATGTATGTCCGTTCACCTTTGTCAACAGACTGCAGCAGGCATGTATAGGTCAATACAGCCTCCTCCTCTAAGTAGCCTACGAATCTATGAGCATAGTTTGGGGATAGGGCATAGGCCAGGCCGTAGAAGGTAAAGAAGGCGCCTTGTGCGCCCAACACTAACGCCCTCAAGAGAGGGCCGGGCTTCATCAGACTGAGTGCAATCATCAAGTGCATGCGCTCGTTCTCAGCCTCTTCTAGGAGGGTGTGGATCCAACCAAAGTCGCGCTCCATCTTCCTCAAAGACCTCAAATGACGGTTCATGGCCCCGACCATACCAGGCACTCCAGCTACCGTCTCCAGGAAAACGACTCGACGTATCCACAGCTTAGCATCACGACGTCCGAACCGGTACCCAGAGAGGAGATCGAAGACTGTGCGGAGTGATCGAACTGATGCATACGCTGCCTTGTCAGCGAGAGTATTGGGAGGATAGTGAGTGAGCTCTACATCATTAACCAAGGACGAGTCCCAAATAGGATGGGGTAACGAGTGAGTCGAATGCGGCTCGGGCTCGGAAGGCCGGCTCAGCGGAGCCGGGCTGTGGGAATGGAAGTGAATTAGATCTGACAGTAGAGAAGACGTTACGGTTTGGGAGAAACATAAATAGGCCTAAAACTAGCTCCTAAAATCAAACTTTGACCATTACGTACTACTACTAGGATACTCACCTGCTGCACTCTGTTGGAACTCCTTCGCTTTAGCATCAGAAGGTGTCGAGATAGCACGTATAGGCCTCCAGGCTGTAGGGCCGTTACTCCATACTCGAAAGAGAGTTGTGGCAGAGACCAACGGCAACGAAGGAGACATCATGAATGGGCAAGAAGAATATACTTATGGATGGTGAAAATTCCCAAGAACTGGTTGAATCTTGCGCTGATGTAAGATCAACTTCCGAGTGTATCAACACAGACTTCTGAAAAAGGCACACTGTAACAAGATGTTGAAGCGGGAAGACCACTCTTGTAGAACGTTGCGACAAGAGTGGCCTTCCCGATTCAGCATCTCAGTTTCTACTAGACAGATTGCCGGATTGTAGTACACCGGTCCGTGGTGGAATAGGATGGCATCTTATTCGGCGCGCCCCGGAAATGCTCGCCGCGCCCCGAAAATTCTCCTCGTTCCCCGAAAATACTCTTGAGCACGCAGCTCAAGGGGCTGCTCAATCAAGAACATTGATTGAGCACCAACGTCCAGCACGTGTACACCCCTCCACACATTCTTAGCATATCCGGTTTTTCGACTCGTGTACAGCCACCACAACGAGAGCCACCACATCTTGCGGCTCAGGGAGGTATGTACTTATGCTCTACCTGATATGACCTCCAAGTTTCAGAGCCTAACGGGGTGTTCAGAGAACCCATTCCGAAACTCAGAACGCATTCCAGAATGCAAAACACCAAAATCGCGTTCAGAGAACAGCCCCACAAACACATTCTGGAATGCGTTCCAGAATAGATTCCGAACGTGTTCAGAAAACTTCAGAATGCATTCTGAAACACGTTCCAGAAAGCGAAATCTCAGAATGCGAAAATTCCTTTCCGAGAATTTTGTGGCGCGCGGGAGGCTACCACGTT